CCGCCTCCTTCCCTTCATTCCAGCGCCGAGAAGCATTTCCCGCCGGCCTCCCGGCAGCGGCGCTTGATGACGCGCTCCTGAGTTGGGGTGGGGCGAGCGCACCAAAACAGCCCTAGGTTCAAGTCCCTACTCAGCCACTGCGCAACTGCGTGACCCCTGGCCAAGCCACTCCCGGTCTCTGCACTTGATTTCTTCATCTATTAATTGAGGAGGTGGTTGGACCGCACCCCAGCCTCTTAACTGGGGGTAGGGGGCGTGGCCTTTGCACCTCCTGTGAGTCGGTGATGCCCCCTACTTGAGCATCTGGCTGGGGAGATAGGGGTCCTCGGCTTTTATCTGATTTTCAAGATCTCTTCCCGCTCCACCTCTTTGCCTTCCAAGCGGCTTCGATCCCACGCTCCCAGATCCCTCTGCCCACTAGCCTCAAAGGTGATCCGTGAATGGCGCCGCACGGCCAGGTCCGCGATGTTGACTCGATTGAAGATTACGTTTTCCATGCAGCCGCGGAAATTATGCCGATAGGCAAGGTTCTTCTGCGCGGCGCCCACCAGACCCCCGATGAACATCTGTGGGTAGGGTGCGGAGGAGGTTCCTTGGGTGCGAGAGCGCGCGCGCCTTTCTGGCGCTGCCCCGCCATACACTTTCTCAAGCTCCAGGCCGGGCTTTATAAAAGACTTGAAACACATTTCCCCAGTTTCAGTATTAAAGCTGAAAGCTCGCTGGGCCTCCTGAAGCTTGGGTTCTAGGCCTGACTCCACTACAAATTGGTGGGACGCCCCTGGGTAAGTCAATTAACCTGTCTAGGATTCTTTATCGGCAGTTGAGGGCAGGGTCTTGACCAACTCCACAGAGTAGGGCAATCCATGGGGGGAATTTGCTCATCTTGCCTGATCCCCAAAATCCAGATTTCCAGATCTTATCTCAGTAGTTCTGGGGTGGTGCCCGGGAATCTGCATGCTAACAGCAACAACAAAAAATATCTAGGCCTTTCTGTGAGCTGCCAAGAGCTGCTAGGCCGTCCAGGAACCGGAAAGTAAGTTCTTACCTCTGGTAGAGAGAAGCACTGCCCCCACCGACCCACCCAGCACCCCCACTCAACCAAATGGCCCCTCCACCTCTGCTCACCTCGGTGTCCAGGTTCAGTCTCTCGAAGTCGCCATTGAGCACGAAGCGCTGCACGTAGCCGTCCAGGGTGAGATTTGCTTCGCGGCCAAATCGGTCTACACGCACGTAATGCCAGTGCTGGTCGTTGAGGACGCCGCCAGCGCTCACCGTTGTGTGACCGGGCCTTGGCTGGATGGGACTGCTGCCTGAGGGTGGGGTGAGGCAGGGTCGGACCTAGAACCTGGAGAACCCCGGCGGAGCCCTCCCCCAGGCAGAGCAGCAGCGGGCAGCGCAGAGGAGGGGCTGCACGGGGCCTAGGGCAGCCAGGGAGAGTGGGCGTAGGGAGATTGGACCGCCTGGAGCCCGGGATGGAGCGGTGGCCATTGGCAAGTATGTTCATTAGGGTAAGTCATTTAACCTCCCCGAGCCTGTTTGCCTATCAGTAAAACTTGGGGGCCGATCGCTGCTTCCACCTCATCATGTGCATGTTATAAAAAGCTAAAGAGATACAAAATAATAACTCTTTGGGCATGTGTGTCTGTGTGTATACTATATGTCTATGTATATATAACGTTTTTACAATGAGGAAACAGACTGGGGAAGTGCCTTGTCCAAGGTCACACCGCTGGTAGGTGGTAGAACTGAGACTGGAATCCAATTCTCCTGAGTCTGGTGTTTTACCAGCACCAAATTCTACACGAAAAAGGCGGGTTGGCCCAAACAGTAGGGAAGGGGATGATCAGGAGTGGGCGCCGCTTCGCGGAGGAGGTGCGGCAAGGGACTCGGCAGGAAAGCCTCAAAGGTCGCACCGGGGGTCGCAGAGCTCACCTAGGCTCATGTGCAGCAGCAAGTGCGCCCCCTGCAGCTCGAGCGTCACGTAGTCGCCCTGGACGCCCTCGGCGTGCAGCAGGAGCCCGTCCTTCTCTTCTGTCTTGAAGCTGAAGGCAAACACGTCCCACAGGCTCCGGCTGACCCCTCGCGGGAAGCGGTACGAAATGGCATCATCGCCGTCGAAATAGAGCACGTCGGACTCTGCGCGAAGGACTGTAGGTGGGCGGGATACCGGGGAGACTGTCTCCCGGGCCCCCGCCACGACCTCCGCACCCTTACTGTAGGGGCAGCCGTAGAGGCCGAGCCTCAGGCCGATCTTGCCGCGCGGGTTCCAAGCCAAGGGCACGATGCGGATGTAGCGCGCCGTGAAGTGGTAGTGCAGGTCGTGGCGCACCACCGCCGACTCGTTCACGTTCCCGAAGAAGGTCTGAGGGAGAATGGGAGAGGAGTGACCAGGTCCCTACCCTCTGCTTGGTTTCTCCACAGCTTCCCAGCCCACCGTTGTCACACCCAGACAATCTTGTCTTCCGGAAAGCAAACCCTCCTGGATCTCCCCTGCCTTCGTGGCCCTTCACAAACACCGTTTCCCTAGCCCAGAGCGTCCTCTCCCACCATCCTATTCTTTTCTGAAAGCTCAACTCAGATGTCACCTCCTTCAAGAAACTCTACTAGATTTTACCCTAAAGTGTGTCAAACCCTGTGATCCAGAGTGTCTTGCACACGTGGTGAGCTGACAGTCCCTCTGGACTGAGTCCCTGGAGTGGAGTCACTGCTCCTCATCCGTGCCCTCACCACCGCCTCCTCCCCTCCGCCCAAGCTAGTGCCCAGCCCAGGTCCCCCAGCTGAGGATGCTCCCCAAGTATGTGCGTGTGTGGAGGAGAGGCCTGGAGTACCGCATTGTGCCCTCGCTGGTAGAACGGCGTCCAGCTGTCCACTCGGTCGCCATAGAGCAGCATGTACCGTGTGACCCAGTCCCACGAGTTAAAGGAGCCCTGAGTGGCCACGGCCCGGATCCGGTGCTTCTTCATTAAATCTATCTGGAGCCAGGGATTCGGGTCCCCAATCCGGGGAGACCATCCACTTATACCTATAGAAGGGGCAAGGGCTTTTACCACTGGCTGGCTTTTTACCCCCAGCCCTCCAGAGTCCCCCCCACCCTGCTGCGGGGTGGGGGTGGGGTGGGAGGGCGTCACCGAGCTCACCATGCAGCCGGGCAAAGCGCGGAGCTGTGAAGAGCCCGTAGTAGGAGGAGGCGCCCAGGGAGCGTGCGTACAGGGGCCCGACCAGCTCCTCGTCACAGCCGTCTGGGTTGGGGGAACCGACGTGTTGGTCAGGGGGGCCCCTCCCAGGTCCTTCCAAAAGCCAGGCCCACTGAGCAGCTGGAGCTCCCCCTTCTCTGCCCCCAAGCGGCAGACCCAGCCCTAACTTAAAGCCATCTACTCAACCTGGGCTGCAGCAACAGCTGGACACTCAGGGAGACTGATGTCTCCTTCTAGGGGAACCCCTAGGCCAGACCCTCCCTAGCTGGGTTCCTGCCCTGATACCAGCGTGGGTTCAGTACTCCCCCAAACACAACCACAAACCTCAGCGTCTTCCAGAACTTGTCAGCCCAAGACACCAATCCAGCCTGAGGCTTAGCATCAATCCCACTCATCAGCACCCCCAAACCTGCACCAAACCCAGCCCCAGGTCTTGGTCCCAACCGCAGCCAGTCCTAGCACCATCACCAGCTCCATGTCCAACCTTAGCATCAACCAGGGTCACCAACTCCTGCTTGGATTCCAGGTACAAAATCCACCCCTAGCCCCTGGGCCAGCTCCAAAGTCTAGCCCTAGCCCTGGTCACCAGTACCACCCTTGTCCCCAACCCTCAAACCCAGGCACCAGCTCTCGCTTGGATCCCAGTCCCAAATCTCCAGCCGAGCCGACTCCATCCTCGGCTCCGAGCCCAGCCCCAGCCCATGGTGCGCGCGCCAGCCTCGGAGCTGCATTGCGGAGCGCGGGGGAGAGACAGGAAAGGATGGGAGCGAGAGCGCGCGGGCCGGGAAGGTACCCGCGACCACCCAGCCGCAATGCGGTGTGGGACCCGCCCTTCAGGCTTTGGACTCCCGGGCCCAACCCTGCCTGCCTCCGAGCCCCGCACTCACAGTAGCCCCAGCCCCGGGCTCCTGAGACCGCGGCGAGCAGGATGCAGAAGAGCGGGAGACACATCATGCAGGGCTGACGGGTCCGGCGGCCGCCTCCCAGTGCCCGGCTCCGGCTAGGGCTAGGGCTCCAGTTCCAGCTCTGGCTTCCAGCTCTCCTCCTGGGGTTCGCAGCGGATCGCTGTCTCTCCTCCTTACCCACCCCTCCCTCTCTCCCCTCTCCCCCAACCCTTCTCCCTTTTCTCTCCCTGTCGTTCCTGGTTCTCCGCTGTTCTCTCCTCTTCTTTCCACCCTCTCTCCTCTCACCTCCCCCCTCCCCCAGCCTCTCTCTCCTGGCACGCGCTGCTTTCCCGGACCCCGCGCAAGCGCGCGCCTCAGCCCTGCTGAGAAAGGGCGGGGGTAGAGAGCCTCCAGCCACGGGGAAATACCCTGAACAACCCGGGGCTGTCAGGGACTGGGGCCGAAGGGATGGGGGAAGGGAGGCTAGGGCTGGCCAGGAGGTCCTGAAAAACCCAAGAAAAGAGGGAGGGGGTGCCTGGAGATGGGGACAAGAGTAAGTAAAAGAATCTAGTATTTTCTAAAGGCAAATTATGCTCCAGGAACCTGTGCTAGGCACTCTCAGAACACTGTGAATTCAGCATTTTTACCTTACTGCACTTTGCAGATGAAAAACCTGAGGCTCAGAGAGGTCAAAAAAACTTACTCAAGATCACACAGGTAGCTAGCAAATGATGATATTCCAAAACCCATTCTTTTCCCACTGTCAGGATAAAGAGAAATTATTCTTTAAGGGGTGGAATGGAAAAGTTAGGTAAAGAGGGCCCACAGACCCTAATTTCCACCGCCCTCTTGGCCTCTCTCCCCGCCCCTTCCTTCCTGTCCCACTAGTTTAACTTCTCTCCCCGGTGGCTATACCTCAGAAACCCGTGTAGCCAGAGATGGGGACCGAACCCGCAGAGCAGGTGGGAGCGGAGGCAGCCGGAGAAGGGTTACAGAGAGGGAGGGTAAGGTGAAGGGATGGGATTTCCCCACCTGGCAACAGGCCTCTGCCATGCAATGAACTGTCCAGGATGCCAGGAGCCATCTGGGACCAGGGGCCCTCCAGATAGATGGGGTTCGTGATGTGAGGCTGGGGTTTGAGGATGGGACTCGGGCTGAAGGGAAGGGCCAGCTGAACCTAGAAGTCCAAGGTCCCAATGGAGCTCAGAAAACCTGAACCCCAACCCTTAAGACCCCCTTGTCATGAGTAGTTCAGTGCACCTGTACTGGAGGTAGAGGTGGGGTGGGGAGGAAAGATGAGAACGGAGACGTAGAAACCCTCTCCAGACCAAGCGCGGAGTCCGGGGACCAAGTCTGAGGCAAAGCCTGCATGTGCGTGTTCTTCCAGGAGAGGGCGCTGCAGAAGGAACTGAAGCTCCCAGATTTATTAATTCAAATACTTGGCCTATGGACAGCACAGATGCTTCACATCCATCATCTTCCTTATTTCAAAAAATCCTGATTTCAAACAACCTTTCTAGGGGGCTGGTCAGGATTTCTAATCTTGACATTACATATTAGGCAACTGAGATCCAGAGAGAACAAGTGGCTTGCTCAAGGTCACCCAGGAAGCTGGATGCAGAGGCAGGAGGGGTGCAAGGGACGGCAAGGCCTGTTGAGGGTGTGCCAGGAAGAGTCTGGAGAAGAGTTTGTCTTTTCCTGGGGTACTGTTGTACCTGGCCACACAGGCGCTCCCAGACTGGAAGGCACGTGTGGGTGAAGGAGGTGCGTGGGAAGATGTCTCATAAGGTCTCTCCTCTCATTTTCACCTCCCCAGGTCTCCTGGGGCCCCTACTCCGGGGACGATGAGGAGGCATACTCGGCTGAGCCGTTGCCAGAACTCTGCTACAAGGCGGATGTCCAGGCCTTCAGTCGGGCCTTCCAACCCAGTGTCTCCCTAACTGTGGCTGCGCTGGGTCTGGCCGGCAATGGCCTGGTCCTGGCCACCCACCTGGCGGCCCGACGCGCTGCCCGCTCGCCCACCTCTGCCCACCTGCTCCAGCTGGCCCTGGCCGACCTTCTGCTGGCCCTGACCCTGCCCTTTGCCGCAGCCGGGGCTCTGCAGGGCTGGAGTCTGGGAAGTGTCACCTGCCGTGCCATCTCGGGCCTCTACTCGGCCTCCTTCCATGCCGGTTTCCTCTTCCTGGCCTGTATCAGCGCCGACCGCTACGTGGCCATCGCGCGGGCCCTCCCAGCTGGACGGAGGCCCTCCACGCCCGGCCGGGCACACTTGGTCTCAATCATGGTGTGGCTGCTGTCGCTGCTCCTGGCACTGCCTGCTCTCCTTTTCAGCCAGGACGGGCAGCGGGAAGGCCAGCGGCGCTGCCGACTCGTTTTCCCCGAGGGCCTGACGCAGACGGTGAAGGGGGCGAGCGCCGTGGCACAGGTGGTCCTGGGCTTCGCGCTGCCGCTGAGCGTCATGGCGGCTTGCTACGCGCTCCTGGGCCGCACGTTGCTGGCCGCCAGGGGGCCCGAGCGCCGGCGCGCGCTGCGCGTCGTGGTGGCCCTGGTGGCGGCCTTCGTAGTGCTGCAGCTGCCCTACAGTCTCGCCCTGCTATTGGATACGGCTGACCTACTGGCTGCCCGCGAGCGGAGCTGCCCTGCCAGCAAGCGCAAGGATCTGGCACTGCTGGTGACCGGGGGCTTGGCCCTTGCCCGCTGCGGCCTCAACCCCGTGCTTTACGCCTTTCTGGGCCTGCGCTTCCGCCAGGACCTGCGGAGGCTGCTACGGGGTGGGGGCTGCAGCCCAGGGCCTCACCCCCGCGGCCCCTGCCCCCGCCGGCCCCGCCTTTCTTCCTGTTCGGCTCCCACTGAGACCCACAGCGTCTCCTTCTGGGACAATTAGGGCTGCGAATCAAGAGGATGGGGTGGGCTGAGGAAATGATTCCAGGGGGGGTAGTGGGTAAAGGAGAGTAGGTGGGGGAACACTGAGAAAGAGGTAGGGACCTAAAGGAATTGCTTCTGTACTTTGCCACATTAAATTGATAACGTGGGAATGAAATGCAACCCAACAACTGTTACTATTTTTGAGTCACGACTTGGAAGTGATTTGTAGCAGGGCAGAGCCGGTAGTTTCCCCCCACCACCGTGCTTGGCTCTGAGTGGAAAGCGCTGAGAGCATGGGTGGGGGTGGGGGCTGCTGAGCCTGCTGAAGCTCTAGGCACTGACACCTCCTCCACCTTCACCCAGTCTCTGGCAACAGAGGTGAGGTGGGAAAGCTGCCAGGCGAGGAGGGGCGGGGGTTCCTCTTGAAATAGCGTAAGGAAGAGCTTTCTAACAACCAGAGTGCTATCCAGTAATGGCTGCTTTAGCAAGTACCGAGTTCCTGGCCTCCAGAATGTTCAGGCTGAGGCTGTCGGGGACTGTGTGTGCCTGTGCGTGGTGTGGGGGTAGGGACAGGGGGCAGGAGATTCCCGTTTGGGGTGGGCTTTTGGACTAGATTACCACTCTACGGTCTCTTCTAAAGTTCTGTGGTGGAAAGAAAAAAGTAATTTAAAAAGTTGAGTCGGAGTTTTTCACCTTGGGAGAAAAACCAAGGAGGGAATGCCAATTTGCAAATTTCTAGAGAGTCGTTATCATAGGCGTGGTGCGGTTGGGGGTGATTGCCGTTCTCCATCTTCCCTGGGTCAGAGGAAATGCACTGAGCCTGCCGGAAAGAGAGAGGTTAGACATCGGAAAGAACTTCCCTTCAGGCAAGGGCCTGGGATCCAGACGGGAAAGAGAGTATATGGTTGTGGTGTCTCCATCCCTAGGAAACTTCAGTGCAGGCCACAGTCATCTGGGGCGAGGGCAAGGCCAGGATGGCCTCTAGAGACGGTCGCATTGATTCCTGGTCTTTGTTTTCACAACCACGACAGGCAGGATGGTGTTCACGTGCGACAACTCTCGCAGTTTAATATCCGGTCAGCAAAGCTGCTCCGACCACTCCAGCCAGGAGTCTGGGGACCAGGGGCAAGAAGGGCGGGGCGGGGCGGAGAGGTCTCAAGGGAGGCGCTGGCCCGACGTCCCCGCCCTGTCCCGCCCCGCCCAGTTCGGGCTAGCCTTCCTTCCCAGAGCCTCCGGCGTCAGAGACCGAGAGCCACGGCCTCCAGGGATCAGGATCCAGGGAAGGCCTGAGGATGGCGCCGATCTTCAAAGGGTCCCACACGCCAGCCACTGGGGGCCAACCTGGAACCCTTCACCGGAGACCGCGCGAACCGCCGCTGAGTCAGCAACGCAGGCGCGCGCCCGCGGTGGCCCTGGCCCCGCCCCGTCCGCGGCCCCGCCCCGTCCGCTTAGCTCCTCGGTTAACCCCTTTCTACACAGAACCGCAGGATATTCACCCCGAGAAGCCTCCACTCCATTGGAAGACCACAGAATTCCCCAGAATCCAGAGTCACTCTCCCTACTGGAGTTCAGTGAGCTCTGCGCTCTAAATTAGATTCTATTTCCGACCTAGGTCTGCGCTTTCCCGGAGTCTCTGCCTCAGCTTCTTCCCTTCGGAAAGGAGGTGACTCAGACCGAGGAACTGGTTCCTTCATCCAGGGGCAGAGGGCCACGTCTAGAACTGTGTCCGGCGCAGGGAGCTAAGACTCTTTCCATTCTCAGGGACCCTAAGACGAGACAGGACTTCAGAGGGCAGCAGTCAGGACCTTCCTCTATGCCCTATGCCTTTCATTCCCCAAAGCTCCTTCTCAAGAGGGTTTTTAATCTGTTGGTTGGTGAGCCAAGAGTTAAAACAAGAGCACGAAGGCGGGCTTCCGTGACGTCACTAGCACTCCGCGACAGACATCAGGGACAGGGGCGCGGCTAACATCGCACCGCCCCTTACCTCCCTAGTCCCCTGCCCCTCCCCGCTGTCACCAAGCCAGGGGCACATGATGCAACCCGCCGTGGTTTCAGTAGCCTGATTGGTGGCCGCGCCCGGCGCCAGGTACCGGGATTGGGCAGAGGAGGCTGTGACGAAAACTGGACCCTGCCCTGTAAAGAAGGGAGGAGAGAAAGAAGAGGGAGGGGTGGCGCCCCGGAGGGGAGGGGGTTGGGGAGGCGGGGTCCCGGCGCTGTGCTCGCGCCCCTAGCGCGCCAGTCCCGGGGCTGCAGGGAGCGCAGCGCGCGCGGCCCGGGCCCCGGCCACCGGACGCCCTACCGGACACGACCCTCCCTGGAGCTTGGACAACTGCCCACCTCGGACACTGCACCGGACACTGCCCCCCACAGGGCTGGACACTACAACGGACACTACTTCCCAGCTCCGGACATTGCTCTCTTCTCCCCCCAACCCCCACCCCGGGCCCTGGACGCTTTTCCCCCTCCCCCTCCCCCTCCGGGGGCCCAGACACTGAGCCCCCCGCAGGCTCTAGGTAGCAACCCCTGGCACCCCAGCGGCAGACACTGCCTCTTTCCTATCCTCTTCTCCTTTCTCCTCCTCCCGCCTCATCTTTCCCCCGCTCGGGTCGGAGCCCCGCCAGCTCCTCTCCGACCCCCTGCAGCTCGGCCCCTGCTGCCCGCGCCCCCATCCTCCGGCTGCTCGCCCGGATGCCTCTCCCCGGGGGATTGTGGTGGCTCCTCTGCTGCCGTCGAGGCTTTACTCTTCTGCACCGGGACTACGGGGACGGCGAGCTTAGCGGGGACGGGGACGAGGACGAGGACGAGGAGACCTTTGAGCTACGGACCCCGAGTCTAGCGGGCGGCGGGAGGGTAAGTCCCGGGGGGTTTGGAGCCTTGTTTCAATCCTTCTCACTACGACCGGCCGTCACGCCTGATCCTGCTCCAGACTCCAGCCAAGCGCCCTGCTCTTGCCGGACTGGGGACGTGGGAGAGGTTTTTTTTGCCTGGGGGCCAGAAGCCCCCTGAAGCTCGAGGAGCAGCCCTACTCGGGATGTGCCTGTGGGCCTCGCGCCGCACGCTGGGCGCTGTCCACCTGCTGGGGGCCCTGAGGCAGGGGAGGCGTCACGCGTGGCCCGACCTGGCCCTGCCTCTCCCTTCCCCGCCGGGCCCGCGTCCCATCCCGTCTCCTTCCGCCTCCGCCAGCGCCGAGGAATGTGGCGAGGCCGGCTGGGCGGCTCGGACGCCTGGGTCCGCTCCGCTCCCAGTTCGTGAGCGCTGAGCGCTGGGGCCTGATGCGGGAGCTCCTGCCGCAGGGACCTGGGCGAGGGGGAGAAGGTATCCTCAGATTGGGGTCCTTGACGGTGACCCTACGGAGAGGGAGCTGGGGGCCACAACTCTTCGAGGACCCCTCCTCATTACCCTGCCACTCAGGACAGAACTCTCGGCCCTCCCTGGTGAGGCTCCTGGAGAATCCCTGAGGGGATGGAGGGACACTCGGATCCCCGGTTTTGTCAAATCTCCCCGTGGGGAAACTGAGGTTCCATTGGTGTGGGAGACCTCCATCCCCTGACGTATTCTCTCCGATGCCCCTGCACACCGGCAGCCAGACTCCCCAGTGCTGTGGCCTGGGTCAGGCTCCCATCCCCCGCTCAGGGGTCCCCAGCAGGCCCAGTGGCTCGGTGCCCGGGTGGGGCGGGCTGCGCCGCCGGGGCCGGCGCCAGCACCTGGCGGAGGCGGAGGGCGGATAAATATAGAGGGGGGGAGGGAGGGAAACAGGGGACTGCGATTAGGGGAGTTGGTCTAAGAGAGTGGTCAGCACCTGCCCCAGTGGTGGTGTGGCTGAGAGCCCCTCTCATCTACTCTAGAAAACAAGTGGATCTGCGCCCGAGGAAGGCACAGGACCCAGGCGTCCCCAAGCTTCCAGCCTAGGCAGGGTCGGCTCTGTGAACCACGCCATTGCCTCCCTCATGCTCCACCTCCACCCCCCCTCCCCGGAGCTTGGGGACAGGTGTCCCTGGCCCCCTCCCCCACCTCCCCCTCCTGGCTTTAGCAGTCTGGGCGCAATGGGACGATGGCACAGTTCCCGTCTGACCTGGCTCCTGGACGGTTTTGCAGCCTCTGTCAGACCCCAGTCTACAGTTGAAGTTCCAGGGCATGGGGGGGTGGGTGAGGGAAGGGCAAAATCCCGAACTGCACCTCCCCTGCAGAGTTTGTGCCATTCCTCACTCTGGCCTGCCCTTCCTGAGCCCCAGCAAAGGGGCAGGGTCTCTGCTTACCATTGAGTCAGAGGGGTGTCTGTGGGAGGGCATCAGAAGCTCTTGGAGAAAGCCCTATACTGAAAGGGTCCTTTTTCCCTTCATTCACCTCTGTGCCCACCGCCTGCCTGCCTGCCAGCCAAGGAAGGGAAAATGAGGAGGAGGGGGTGACTTCAAGCCTGCCAGAATGAGAAGGGACTTCATCCACCTCTCCCTTTTCAAAGATGGGGAAGCTAATGCCCAAAGACTCGAGAGGACTTGCCAAGGTTCCACAGCGAGTTAGTGGTCGATCTGGTATTAGAACTCGGGTCTCCTGACTCTCTGCCCAGTGCTCTTTCCACCCTACTCCACTTCTGATTGCATCTTCAAAGAGTAACGGAGACAAGGCGGGAGCCTTGGCTTCTTAGTTCGGGCTGTTCTGTAGAGACTGGCTGAAGGGGAGAGCCCAGCAGCTTCAGCTCGCTGGCTCGGTCACAGTCACGACCCCACTCCTTAATTCCTCAGTCCTCTGAGCAGCGCTGTCCTGTGGGCAGTAGCCACGGGCATCCCCGGAGGAGGGCTCTGATCCTGAGGGCTGCCCTTGCCTGTTTCCCCAGGGCCCCCTGGACGTGACGCTGACGCAGCCTGTGAGAAGCGGGCCGGTCTCAGACAGGTGAGCCCCTGTGTCCCATGTTCTGGAGACCCCACCCCGTTCCCGGGACCCCCATCCTCGCCGTCTTCCCTCTCGCGGTTGCGAAATAAGGGAGAGGCCCTTACGCCCGGACGCTGTGGTTTGGCCGGGGTCCCGGGGGGGCGGTCCGGCTGGGGGGGCGGGGAGGAAGGGGGGGGTCGGGGCTATTTCTGGTGCGAGGTCAGAACGGCCCAGCGGTTCCCACAGCCTGGGGGAGGGGTGCCCAGCCCGGGAGCAGGCACCCCTCGCGGTCTAGGGAGCCCCTACTGAGGAGCCCCCTGGAGGCGGGGTGCAGGACCGACAGCCTCGCCCAACCCTCTCTCCCCTCCGGCCCAGGCTGCAGAGCTGGGAGGAGACGCGGAGCCTCATCCCAGAGAAGGGGCCCCCAGAGGACGACCCGGACGTCGTCGTGAAAGGTGGGGACCCATCCCATGCACTCTGGAGGCCCCCAATCCCAACCCTCCAGGGGTTAATGTCTTCTCCCGCTGACCCCCTTTCCCTTCCTCTCCTCCCCCCAGGCTGGCTGTACCGTGAGCCCCGCGGAGGAGGAGCGCGGCCCTGGTTGCCTCCGCGCCGAGCCTGGTTCGTGCTCACCCGGGACTCCCTGGACCAGTTCAGCAGCAGCGGGAAGGGGGCGCGGCGCCTCGGGAGCCTGGTGCTCACCAGCCTGTGCTCGGTGACTGGCCCAGAGCGCAGGCCCAAGGAGACCGGTGAGACCTCGTGGGGACTCTCCTACCTCCCCGGGCAGCAGCCCCAGCCGGCCCTGATTGCCCTCCGCCTCCTTTCTCTCCCCCAGGTCTGTGGTCAGTGATCGTCTCCGGCCGGAAGCACAGCGTCAGGCTCTGCTCCCCGCGTCAGGCTGAGGCAGAGCGCTGGGCGGTGGCGCTGCGCGAAGTGATCGCCTCCAAAGCGCCGCTGGAGACCCCCACCCAGCTGCTGCTCAGGGACATTCAGGTGCGAGAGAGGGGACTCCCTTGAGATAGAGAAGGGTGGTGGACTCAGAAGCTTTCTGGGATCACAGGGAGTCCCCTTCTCCATCACTGTGACCCTTTCCCTGGCCTCTAGGAGAGTTGTGGGGACCCGGAGGCCGTGGCCCTTATTTACCGACGGAACCCGATTCTGAGGCACACCAGTGGGGCTTTGTATGCCCCACTCCTGCCCCTGCCCTATGGAGCCAGCCCACCAGGTGAGTGGAGAATCCGAACACCTCACCTGACAGGGACCTAGGAGTCCTCAGGGGGCCTACTCAGCCCTCACTTTTCAAAGAATGAAGGTGAGCTGGAAGCTGTCCAGACTGATATCCGGGATGGAGGGGAGGGAAGCCAGCACAGAAAAAAGGCCCCCTTTGGCCACCTTCTCTATGGGTCTCATTCTAACTCCTGATGTTCCTTCATGAGTTTTTACATTCTCCTCTATTCTTTCATTACTCTTAAAACCATATCATACTACCTTTAAGTGGTGGAAAAGCCACCACTTTGGGAGAATGTGCTGGCCTCATGCAGCTATACTTCTCCCCAAAAGGGCATAGTGATTGGCCCAGGTCTTGAAGCTAGAAGATTAAGGGGAGCCTGGATAAGAACCCTGGTTTTCTGACTCACGCAGTCCAGCCTGTTTTCTGGCCCATGGTGATGACTCTCAGTCCCCAATTACAGAATCTGGGGTTTGAACCTGTGTCCTTTAGTCTATCCTACTTTACTCACTCAAAGTGCAGCCTTAGCAGATCCAAGGAGTGATTCCTGGGAGGCAGGGGTTGAGAGTTTGGCTCTGTAAGGACCATTGCTTTCCCTTCACTCTTCCTGTCGTTCAAACTCTCCCCTTCTTGCCACCCTCTGTCCCCTTATACTCCCTCTGCCCTTCCCCTGGTTCATGCCTTCCTCCCAGGGCCCAGCTCTGTGTCCCCTCTCCAAACCGCCCCTCTACCCCCACCCTCCCGCAGGTCCAGGATACGCACCCTTGCGCGAGGAGGCGGTTAGGCTGTTCCTGGCTCTGCAGGCGCTGGAGGGGGCGCGGTGCCCCGGGCCCCTGATGCAGGGTGTGCTCCAGACCTGCCGGGACCTGCCTGCACTCCGCGACGAACTCTTCCTGCAGCTGGCTAAGCAGACCTCGGGCCCCGCGGGCCCCCCCGGGCCCCCGGCTACCCAAGACCCCGCGGCCCTGCGGTACTGGCAGCTCCTCACTTGCATGAGCTGCACCTTCCGGCCTGGGGGAGCTGTACGGGGGCACCTCCTGGGTCATCTGGAGAGGTGAGAGGGGAGAGGTGGGGTAAGGCCAAGGCAAAGGAGCTACAGGGCTGGGAGAGAATGACAGGCCTTTCCAAGGGGTTTGGCAGATGGAGAACTTAGACCCAGCGAAGGGAAGGGACGGGACTTGCCCTGGGTCATCTGGAGAGGTGAGAGGGGAGAGGTGGGGTAAGGCCAAGGCAAAGGAGCTACAGGGCTGGGAGAGAATGACAGGCCTTTCCAAGGGGTTTGGCAGATGGAGAACTTAGACCCAGCGAAGGGAAGGGACGGGACTTGCCCAAGGTCAGGGCGAGTGCTAATATGTACAGTGCCTTTGTGGGAATTACAAGATCGTATCCCTCTTGTGGACGCCGGAATTACAAAAAGGTGCCCCCTTTGGGCCGAGGAATTATTAAAAGGGTGCTTTTCCTCCGGGCTGATGCAGTCCAGCGCCAGGGCTTTTAGGTGGGAAAGTGGAATGCGGCTGGATTTTCGATTTTAACCTGAAGGAGAATCATGGAGACTTTGGGAAGTGGGAGAGGGCAGTTAGGAGAGACCCGCCAGGGGCCTTAGAAAGTAATTTAGCTCCATACAGAGCACCAGGGGTAGATTCAGAGGGGCCAGTCACTGCCTTCAAGGAACTTAGAGTTGGAGGGTAGGGAAGGACAAGATGAAATAAACTATAAAATAAAAAAGGCGAGAGGGAGGGGGAGTAGGAAGCCCTCCGAGCACTGATCCTCCGGTTCTCTCTAACCCAGGACCGAGCAGGCGCTCCCGGACTCGGAACTGGCGGAATATGCGCGCTTCATCCGGAAAGCGCTGGGCCGGACGCGCGGCCGAGAGCTGGTACCGTCGCTGGCCGAGATTTCCGCGCTGAGCCGACGGCAGGAGCTATTGTGCACCGTGCACTGTCCGGGGGCTGGTGCCTGCCCTGTGGCCATAGATTCTTACACCACGGCAGGGGAGGTAAGGCCAGAGAAAGACCCCTGAAACTTCAACCCTTCCTCCCAGCTTCCCATGACCGGCTTTCCTGGTGCCTGAGCCCTTGGTTTGCCTCGAGTCTGAGATTCTTCATCTGGGTAAGGGGTGTGTGTGGCGAGACTAAGAGTTTTGAAAGACCCTTCCAGTTGGATCAGCCCCTCCAGAAGTATTAGCAAGACCCCCGCAAGGTCTGACTTTCCCTCACACTGTCTCCCTTCCAGGTTGCTCGAGAGCTGGTGGGTCGGCTGGGCTTGGCCCCGAGCCGCAACGCTTTCGCATTGTACGAGCAGCGAGGGGCCCAGGAGCGAGCCCTGGCTGGGGGGACTCTCGTGGCCGACGTGCTCACCAGGTTTGAGAAGTAAATGTCCAGCCCCAGCCCTGTTACCGTTAGCCTATCTGCCTCTCAGTTTCGGTCAATCCCTAAGCAAACGTTTAGCGAGCGCTTGCCACTTGCCCTGCCCAGTGATGTTTGTTGATGTTTCACAGACGGACCCCTGCGAGCCAGCGGTTTGCAGTCTGGCTTCCAGGCCCACCTTCCGCGGTCCACTCCGCCGGGGCCCCGCCCAAACCTCTGGCCCCGCCCCCAGTTTTCCCGCTGGGTCCTCAGCGGCCCGCGCGCTGGGGGGCCCTGCTTTTGGGTCGCATCGCGCCCTTTTCTCTTTTGCAGTTTGGCCGCTGAGGAAGCTAGGCTGGAGGACTCGCCGGACTCAGGTTGGAGACTGTGTCTGCGTCTTCACGGACCTCTGCACCCTGAGGGGCTGTCCCCAGACGGTCACGAACTGCCTTTCCTCTTTGAGCAGGTAAGGATCTCCAGCATTCACGCCCCCATAAAAGACCCCGACCCTGAACCCCTCCCTTCCTGGGCCATCTCATTTAATCGTTCTGGCAACCCCGCGGGAGGCTTCACTCGAACCCAGACCTCGGATTCCACACCCCGAGGTGCTTTCGCGGCCGACCAGCTGCCGCGCCCCGGCTGACGCCCGGTGCCCCC